AAGGAAGGAAGGAAGGAAGGAAAGAAGGAAGGAAGGAAGGAAAGAAGGAAGGAAGGAAGGGAGGAAGGAAAAGAATCCTAAATATAGAAGAAAAGAATCAACAGGCACACGGGTGGAGGTAGAACCCTAATACAGAAGCATAAGTGAATGGGATATGAAAGACTCTGCCCATACCTTGATAAAATTATTAGAATGCAAAAAAAAAATTGCTTGGCTAAAACAATTAACAATCCTTTAAAAAGAGTATATATTTTGTCCTTTAAACATGAAGAAATTAGTATTTTAGTTTAATAAATGTTGACATTACCTAAAAATTAATGATGACCATAAACTTTAGGGCGCTCAGGTGGCCTAGTGGTAAAAGGATGCACTGCAATACCAAAGAAATGCAATTCAAATCCACCTGCTGCTCCACAGAAGGATAAGCAATCTCTGCCCATGCCATTTACTGCCTCTGAAATCCTGCTGGAAGGAGGCTATGGGTTGGTTCCAGTTCAATGATACACCAATAAAAACAATACATATAAAGGGAGCTTTGGTGCCTTAGTGGTAAAAAAATTGCACTGCCACCACAAAGGTTTGTGGTTCAAATCCACGAGCTACTCTGCAGGAGAAATATGGGTAATCTCCTCCTGTGTGACTTTACTACCTCTAAAATCCCTCTGGAGGGTCAACTATAGTTGGGTTTCAACTTGACGGCACACAACAACATAAACCTAAGGGCTACCACAAAACTACCCATGATTTATGCAATAATTAATGTTAAGTGTTTTGTTAAGTGTATAAATCCAAAGAATAGATGGACATCAAAGATTCATCATATACAGAAGAAATTTTATCAGTAATAACTTTCTTGGGCAATCAATTAAGACATCAATTCAAACATATATTTACTGATTATCCTTTAAGATACACAGCTCATATTTATAAGCAAGCTGCTCCTCAGAATGATAAAACAGTCTCCTTCCATTAAAACTGACAACCATAGAAACCCAATGATGGGGCATCATGAGTTGGAATTGACTCAAGGGTAGTTGGTTTGACTTGGGTATATGCAGTACTGATGACACAGTGAACAAACCAAAGTTCTCTAATGGTGCAAAAACTACACATTGTAAGAGTAGAAATATTTTGCCATTCTTACTCATATGGGCTACAACTTAGGAGAGTGAGTCTAGTACCTAGCTCTTAAAAGATAAAATTTAATTAATCTATTTCTCACAAGTCTGTTAAGATAGATAAACATATTTAAAGTGCAAAGGAGAGATCTAAACTAAAGGCACACAAGTGTATCACCAGGTTAAAATAGAATCTATGGGCCTATGTGAGGTTTAGCCTGGAGAGAAAATTGCAGACATGGAGGACTTGGAACAAAATCTGAAGAACTTCATCATTAGTGGACAGGTAGGGGAGTCTGTCTACAAAAGGAAGAAAGGTAATGGAGGAGGAAAGAGAATCAGAGAGTGTTTCAAGAATATTGAATGCTGTAGACTGAAAAATGCCATTATGTTTAGTGACATAAAGATTACCAGTGACCTGAGCAACAGTTAACACAACAATTGCTATGTCTTATTATATGCTAGTGGGTTCCCAAAGCACTGGCCAGATAGCCATGTTTGGATCTTCATTAACTTTATACATAAGAAAATACAGGTCTAAGTCATTACAAGTACGCTGAATACCAGGAAAAGAGAACCACAGGGACCTCAGGCAGCAGGTAACAGGGACTTAACCTAAACTCAGAACTCGAACAAAGCTAACTTTAATTTTTTATTACCATAATGAAAGCAACGATGTGTGTGTCAGAGTTAAAGTTCCAACTAAATCAGCTAAAGATTATATTCCATGTTCTTATGCTTGCTAAATTCTAGATGGGAACTTGGAATTTTGTGAACCTAGGATTACTAAGATTTTTTTTTTAAAACAAAATCTAACACTAAATAGACTTTTTCAACTTTAGAAAATAAAACTGTTAAGCACCAATATCTATACATTCATAAAGCTCACCCAGAACTTTTTGCCAATAATATAGTATCACGATTATAGTTTTGTCCATATTCTGAATAATCGGAAGTCAATCACCTTCTTGCATCATAGCCAAAAAATATTAAAACCTAATGTAAAATCACTCTGGTGCTATAATCCACAGGGAGTTGCACTGATAATGTAAAGACAGTACCTCGTCATCAGTTCAAATCCACCTGTGGCTTCATGGACAAAGATGGGCAAGCTCCTCTTGTTGACTTTAAAACGGCAGGAGGGTCAGTGTGACAGACTGTAAAATCACTTATATAGCAAACTGAGATGAAGTCCAACTTCTAATAGTGTGTTATTGATTTGAACGGATTAAAATAAATGGGGGGGAGGATATACATACAGGCCTACAATCACACAATGTTTAACTCTTAGTTACAGGCTTTAAAAATGTTAGTAATTTTACAGCAGTGGCACCATGCTGTAAAATGGGATTGATATCAGGGTTGGGGTAAGACTGAGAAAAACTGGATAAATTGTGTATACTGCATTGAAACAGATGAGAGGGAGAATAATTTAAAAG